GCAGAGGTGCTTAACGATATTATATACACAAGAGCAAATGGGTGTTCGCATAATCGTTTCAAAATTCTTTAATTCTATAATTTTTTTTATACGATGCGCATAATGCACCGATCTACTGTGAAATATCGCAATGTCGCTGACGGTTGAGTATTTCGACACAAACTAGGAAAACTCACAGTTGTAAAAATGAACAGTAGGAATATTTCAGCAAAGATAAAAACTAGGGAATCAGATACGCTGTTTCGATACGTCATACGATTCGTCAATATATTCGCCGAACGTTTGGTAGTGCGCCGTTCGCGTAAGCTTTTAAGCCATGCTCCCGCGCCGCCGCAATCCCGCCCCGGCGCCGGCGCGTTTGTTCCTCGAACGTCATCTCTCTATGAATATTTAAGGCGCCCCCCGTGTTTTTGACGCGATCGTCGCGGCTCAAACGCCCCCGTTTAATATCCACGCCGCGGCTTCCGCGTTAAACGAACGCGTCTCGAATTCTGAGCTTTGCATAAGTGATATGCGCCGGCTCTAAATGCGCGGAAGGGCAAATGTTTAAATTTGTTCGACAACTTTTTCTTCGTCAGCCGGGACGTATTAGTGCTTTTAAGTCGCGTATTTCCTAAAGATGTTCGTAATTTTTTACTGGTTCTAGTTATGGTTACTATTGCTTTAGGATCGATGTGCTATAGTTTCACTAGCCGTTTTGTTATTTATTCTAACACTGGCTCATCTAGTCGGCGGGTCCAAATAAAAATTTAACTATCATTATGGTTTTTTTTCTATGATTCTAAAGTGTTCGCGATTTTCTTTCAATGAACGCATTATACAATGAAGTACTTTGTTTCTTAGATTGGCTTATTTTCTTGTAAATTTTGACCCCGATCGTAGTCTTACTCTTGGCGTCTATCCTGACACCTCTGGTTCCAATACCAATCATGGCACTAATCTCGGTTCTCCCTTGGGCATTTATGTTAATAATAACAAGCTTTTCGATGATATGTGTACTTTCTTATAAATAAAAGTAATCAATATTTATTTGAGACTATAATCTACCCCGATGCAAAATTTGATTATAATCCATCTAATTGTTAGCGCATGAAAGATAAACAATCAAACAACCATGACTATACGTTCATAATATAACTAGTTTTTGCCTAAGGCAAAAATAGATCTAAGCCGCTCGCTTAGACATGAAATTATGTTTTTTATTGGACACAATTCGCGTAAAATCTTAGTGGCCTTCTACGTTCCGAAAAGATTAACTATAGTAAATTTCAAGTCAAACGTACGTATAGTTTCGGAGATGATGATTCAGTCAATACATTTCGCTTATATCTATATATATATAGATATAAGCGAAATGTATTGATATATATATATATATATATATATATATATATATATATATATATATATATATATATATAGCCCTAAATAATCAAAGTTTCATACGTCATATAAACTACATACACATTTTCAGTAGTTTTAACCGATACCAGGATAAAAATAAATTGTTTGTTACTAGTGACCCGCTCACATCGTTGCTGGCGTAAAATATACGATTTTGTAGAGTTTTTTAACTAAATTTGATTGCTCTTAACAAAATGACTGCTCAAATTATTTAGGTATATGTTTAAAACTTGTTTACGTGAAAAAGACGTATACAAAAATTTAAAATTTTATTTCCATATAAAACCATCACACAGTCAGTGTTTCTTTTTACAGTAATACACTAAAATAAATGATTAAATTTCGAATAGAAAAGGAAAACTGTGTTACAAAATAAAAACACCTATTACAAATAAACATTTTTTTAAACCAAATTTGATTTCAAAATCATAAATATGGTTATTCTGAGTCAATCTAAAAAAAATATACCATCGCGGACTTTTTTTTAGAATTTTTAAGAGGAAAATGTATTTATCAGCATATATTATTTTTATGTAACATTCACTGTTAATTCACAATTTTCATTATAGCGGTAGATTATTTTCTTTAAAAAATCACAAGGTATAGCTTGTAGTCTTCATAGATTGTCTTATTTATTGGTAAAAACTGTATGAAAATTTGTAAATTACTTTTTGAAATTAGCCCGAACAAACACAAACCCGAGGCAGCGAGGCACTTTAATTTATAATATGTAGTGATATATAGATGTAATAAAAATTTTATATTAACTGAAAATGTATAACATATTTTTCTTATCAGCGAGTGATACTCTAAAATCAGGAGAAAAAATTTTTGGTATTACTTTGATAGTTTAGAATTATTGAGAACTTATCACATTTCCAATTAAAAATTTGAAAGTGCCTATCACGGAATGCTTCGTTAATGATTAAAAACTTCAATCTTTATTCTATACCTTAAAAAAGTTCATACATGTGTCCCAGAAGGGTATACAGAGATCTTCACTTAGAAAGATTATTATACTTTATTTTTCTTCTCTGCTATTTCAAAATCGTTCCAAGCAAGCAAAGTTCGATTTCAGGTCCTGTCTTTTTGACATTCCACAAATTTAATAGGCATACGATGTCCTAACGTTACTCTTGCCGACCCTTCCCTCAATTGCTGTATATATTTCATTTGTTTCTTCATTCCTTCTTGACCACGGAGACACCTCAATGCTATGTTGAGTCGTTTCGGTGTATTCATATGTATCTATTTCTACTCTCGACACCTATTTTTACTAATAACCCCGTTTTTTTATATCTCAAATCATACACATGCTGACACACGGTGTTTATAATGTTAGTATCGATCACGAAGGATCATAGAACCATCCGTTGATCTAAACTGTACGACACCCTCCAAAACTTAGACTAGTTCAATTATAAGTTTTATATTCATAAAAAACAACATTCTAAAGAGCTCACTGGCTATGGTAAATTGTTCTTGAGTCTGTAACTCGAAAAATAACATTTTTTTTATATTTGTTATAAAATTCATGTTCAAAGGTTTGAAACTATAAATAAACGGATTGATGGTATCCATTATTGGCTTTATTTATGGTTATTTATCGTATCAGATAACTTGAAACTCCGATACTTAATGGCTAAAGCGTATAATTGTTCCGATTCAGTGTAAAGAAGCATTATAAATCAGAATCAACAATATTAGAGATTTAAAGAAATAGTTGTAATTAAAAAAATAAATAAATAAAACACATAAATGTTGCAAGACATTGCGGCCCGCGTTCAGGAAAATTCATGAAGTGAAAACTTTTTATAGAGAAAAATGTTTTGGTTTTAGCAACGGCCTAAAAATGTTGTAAGTAATTAAACTGCCTTAATCCATTCTTGACGTACACGGTCATTAACAAAAGAATTTTCTAGCTCGAACGGAACAAAAGAACTGCGATTAATTGTACAAATAAAGATACATTACGTAGTTTTATTTGATATGATAGATCGCATGGAAGAAAAACAAAGCTTCAAACTCGTAACAAAATTAAACATACGTAAATTATAAATTGCCAGCCTTAACCGGTGCTAATTGCATTTTCATGTGTAACTAAATAATTATTTTGGTGATGCAAAATATAAAATTAACACATTTTAATAATAATTGTTTCGGTTTACCTTTAAAGTGTATGTAAAGTAAGACATATTTACGAAGTGGTATATTTAATAACAATACATAATTAGTAATTTACCTTTTTTAAATTACCAGTGCTTGCAGTCCGTTAACAACAAAAACAAATCAAAATTGAAAATATTGGTTGTAGTTATATATAGTTACTAAATTCATAAAAAATCGATAGATTTTTTCTAGAGATATCATAGGAGAACTCTGTTTCAAAATCTAACTTTTCGTCTTAAAAAACAACCTCAATGATCGCAAAAAAAGAGTTTTTTTTTTAATAAAATGTGAAATTGTCAATAGATTGATGTCTGCTACACAGCTATCCTTTTTTTTTTGCTTAAAAACCTGCATCGAATGCTATAAATCGGATCAAAATCAAAACGTAAAATATTAACGTAATCAGCGAAGTCTATAAAAAAACCGATTAGAGAGGTTTGAAATCAAGATTTACTATGAACATTTTAGCTATTATAACAATGTTTGGAATGTCACCAAAACAATATATAATTGAATATGACAACTTGCTGTTAATTAATATTTCTATAGAATTATAACAATACAAAGCAATAAAATCAAAGCAGAACAAAAATAAAAATTTTTATATCGCCACCTTTTCTGTCCGCTTCGGGCATTGTAATGGGCAGTCCCCTTTATTACCATACTTAAACAAACGGAAAAAAAAAAGCTTCACAAAGCAAATACATCCCCACCGATATAGATACACATAATTTACATTTTTAAGGCTAATAAGGGTTTTTATATAGGGCCTCCTCGGCGGCCGTGTTTCCCACGGCGGTCCTCTTTTAGGGAGAGAGGCACCACTTCCCGGGCCACTTAAGTGTTTGTCCTGTTTCGTTTCCCCGGTAAGGCACATTTTCGAACGACATTACCATAGAGATCAAGATTTTGCGTTCGGGAAAAAATATGCAATGTAAATACCCACTTTGTTGAGTGAGAGCGATAAAGTGGTCCGAGCAATTTTTGCCTTTAAGTAAGGGCCACGACGGTTGTTCGAACGTCGAATTAATTTTGACGTTTAGGATCCGGTGCTGGGAAAAGAGAATTAGACCTCTAAGAGTTTATGGTCGGACTTTCCCCCGATGGCTGATGAGTTGAAAACAGAATGCCTATAAAATGTTCAAAGTTCGTGCATATCTTTTATTAGTTGTCTCCCGCCCCTTTCGTTATATAAGCGTAAGTTAAAATTTAAGAATGATTGCTTTACTTTATGATTTGATTAAACTCGTGGTGTTTAATTACCACTTTTCTGGTATCTGTACAAAATTATATTATTAGAATGAAATTTCTAATCACACGTTATACTCAAACTTTTGGCGGATGGGATCTACACGAAAAAAAGTGTAACCGCAACTAAAAATACTGAACGTGTTCTTTTAATTAACATTTTTATGAATTTGTTTGCCAACGTCCATACCACGCTGAATGCACCGGGTTTTCGTGCGATCACCGAGGTTAAGCAGCGTCGGACGCGGTCAGTACACTTGGATGGGTGGTCGCCTGAGAACAGCGCCTGATGTTGGCTTTTTTGGTGTTGCATTATTTCTATAGAAATTTCTAGTAAAATATTCATTACACTTTTTATTATAATATTTAATTGCTATTTCTTTATTCTTTTTGTTGCATTTATCGTGTCGTTACTTTCAAATGTGTTAATTTATTTCATTGTGTTTGTATATAAGTTATAATCTCCTTTTTTGTACCTAAAATATTAAATGAAACTCTTGAATTGCTTCAGTTCTGGACAGTATACAATTTTAAACTTTCAATAAATAAATACTTTTACGAAATATGTGAAATTGACATTTATTATTGAGTTCATATTTGTGCAAACTGAAGAACTTAAGAAAGTCTTTACTAAATAAAACAAATGGCGCTGTTTAGTGTTTTTTTGGAATTTCAATAATTTATAAAAAAAAATATTTATTTACAACTTACAAATATTCTTACGATTTATTTATTCACATTATTATAATCATTTATTTAATTGATTTTAAACGTTTTAATTGTTATTTTTAAAATATATTTAAGTATAAAGAAAGGAATTTCGTTCCAATCAGGTATTACGTATTGTAACCTCATGAGTTATGTATTATATAAAAAAATATCCTGTGTGTCGTTGTGTCGGTTAAATATCAACGTTCTTAACAACTGTGCCATTACGGTTCTCGAGTCGTCATATTTAAATTATACTTCACATAAATCACGTTCTGAACTAATGAACTAACTAACTTACGCCGTAAGAAAATCCTTCTTGGCCAAAAAATCAAAAAATGTAGGATATTATGTGTTAATGTAAAAAAAGTTATTACGTTTCAATAGTTCACATTTATTTTGGGTATATATTATATATATAATACAGAAGCATTTCAATTTTAATTTGTATTGGAATTAACAGTCTTTATAATCTCATCCGTCTGATGGAGAGTTAAAGAAGACAATGCAGAGCGAGAATAAAAAAAATCCGGGACAAATCTATTTCCCGCCGAGGGAAGCGAAAGAGGGGTTAATAGATTTCATTAATTAACCCGCTCAGTGGAGCGAGTGATTGGGAATCTGTCCCGCAGTCCCCCGGGATAAAAAGTGACAATTCCCCGGGACGGGGCGCCCGTGTACGCGTCCCCTCGAAGCAGTCGCCGCTTTGCCGGTCTGCGCGAGCGCCGCGGTGGTTTTATAAAAAAGAAATCTAGGCAGTGGTCGACCTCGCAGGCCGTCCCCAAAATTGACCGCATTGTTGTCTTTTTTTGTGACTCTTTCGATTAAACTATTGGGTGAATCAATCGTTCCAAATTCGTTAACTGAACTTCGTATTTTTTGTGACTGTTATCCCGGATAAAATAAGAAAAATAGGGTTGTAATTTTTTTAACGGCACTTTATGAGCAAAAAGTATGGTAATCGATATATACTTTCCAGTAGGCACTAATTTTTTAAATGATTGTGACAGGAATTTTGCAGTAGTCAAAAGAAAAATTAGACGTAAATTTGTATATATATCTGTTTTGTATTGTGTATTCACCTACCAGTGATATATCGATCTCACACTATAATCCAGTCACACAGTTAAAAAGGTCGAAAAAATAAAAGCAGGAGACGTTGTTGATTTCAACAAATGGATTCAACTTAGATTAAAGATAAATCTTTGACCATAAAAGGTCTTAGAAAAGATTTTTCTAAAAACTAAAAAGTTATTTTTCAGATATCAGCTTAGTGTGAATTTGTATTTGATTTAAGAAAACCTGGCGAAATTGTAGCAAAAAATCATATTGATGTGAAAAAATACATATCTCGAGAAATTGTTTAATTTTTCTAACGCAAAAGATATACAAGTACTTTTTGCTTTAGAAAAATTCAACGACTACAAAATGGCAAATTACTACAAAGCGAAACCAATCGAAATTAATACCTTGAAAATTGAAAAAAATTGTTAAGGATAAACAACATTACCGCCTGAATTTCCAGCTTTTTATGACGAAGTTTTACAATAGACAAATACAATCAAAAGAAAGCTTGCAGAAGAAGATTCTTGAATTAAATATGATACCACATTGTAATGTCAAATAAGTAAATAGCCATATATCTCACTTTACAATTTATTGTTTCATTTCAGATATTAATAATATAAGCTTCGCAAATTTTATGTAAAATTTCATTTAAATTTTTTCTATTCAAATATTGTATATTGAACCGCTAATAGATTACATTCATGCATTTTTTAAAACTATTTCATAAATAATTATAAAACCGGAAAAATATAATACTTACAAAATTTTATTTACGATAATTTTCGGACGACTTAAACGCCGCAATTTCGGTGCGCTCATTTTGTGAATTGTGACGTCACCGAGGAAGAAATTAACAACAAGTGTTTGATTCACAGTTTTAATAAAAGTGAGTGATTAAAGCTATACAAGATCAAATTATGTAATGGAAAAGCACATAAAAGCTTATTATAAATATTGTGTTGTCTCTATGTGCGAAAACAAAATTGATACTGCACCTGACAAGATATGTTTTCATACAACCAAAGATGCAAACACAAGTAAAAAGTTGTGTAAGGCGATGATGAGAGATAATGTATCGTGCTAGATTATTTTATATTTTTATGAAAATCATTCAGGGGGTGAGTATTAAATATTATATGTATGAACCATCATATTCGTCACATCACGAAATTAGCGATATATTTTAGGTTATAATTACTCGATTGACTCATCTCAAGAATATAAAAATTAGGAATATGAAAATTTATCGAATATTTATAACTTATTTACATTGCAGCTTTTATTCCTGTTAGTTCATATGACGTAAAGTCAGAATTATTTGCGAAATAGGTAGTCATCATGAACATATCAATCTTAGGCAAATTATCTGACTGTGCCTTGACAAAGCCGTTTTCAGTCATTGTGGCGAGTCTTTTTTCATAAGAAATCATTGCTTTCAGTTAACGATTCCCAAAAAAAAATAATAATTTATCATAAACAGCGCCAAAACAATGCGAATAACCTTCAATAATCATACAAACGACCTGTTAATAGTAGACACCTGGCGACGACACGTTTCGTTCCGTTAATAGCGTCTCGTTTTAGAAATTTGGGGGGCAATTTGAAAATACTGCTTTTAAATAATTAAATTTATCAATAGAAACATGACAACTTGTAAAATAATCATTTGTATATATATATATTTCATTAGCAATAAGGATTACACGTAATTTTTTTGTCCATTTCTAAATCGTATGCATATTACTAATTTATTTAGTGTATTTATGTCAACCATAAAAATAATATTTTTATAAATTAAGCACAATAAATCTATGCTGGTATTTCTCCTCATCGATAATAAGACCGTACTACGTATGTACTATGATCTACAAAATATATATAAGAATACGATAAATCGATTAGTGAATGTGGTTTCACTTGCTGTAAAATTAATAATCTAGTAATAAGATACAGCACTATTCGCATACGCCGTTAAAAGTCTGTTAAATTAGTTTCCCGAGAAGAAGATCTTGCTTTTGGTGCACAAATATAAACCGATGGCCCATTAATATCTCAACCAACTACAAGAATTAAAGATTTGAATAATGTCAACAGATGTAAGGAAGAGTACCGATATAACTATTTATAATCCATCTCTGTAATTTTTAAGATTAAAATATTCATCGTTTTTACTCTTTTTCGTTTCAAGGCTTAGTTTAAATAAGATCTAAAGGTCACATTTTATTTACATATAAAATCCATAAATTAAAAAGGTATTTTGTGTTTTTTTAGGTTGTTCAACGTTGTATTTTTTTATGTTCAACATCGATTATCATACAAAACTATGTACTTAAAACGCAATGAAGCTCTATGGTCAGATGGGAATTTTCCTTAAAAAAACAACTGAAAAAAAAATCTAAATTGGATCGTCCAGTAAAAAGTAATCCGTGAATGCCTTATAGATCTAAACGATTCTTTTCTCCTCGATTAAAAATTAATAGCCAATTCGAATGAAGGAGGGGACAAAAGATTAATTTGATAAGATCTGTAATACAACAATTTGAAATTGTAATTCACATTATATTTCATGACCGTGATGAAACCTAATAGAGTTACTGAATACTTTTATTTTATCTTCGCGTTAATTTTCTTTATGTATATAAACAGTTAAGCACATGTCGCACTACACACAGTGTAGCAATCTAGGAAACAGGCAAACCTCCGCCAATTAGACACGGTAGTAGCGTAATTTCGCAATTGATCGAAATTATTGACCCGCGGGAGTATTCATTGATAAGAAACTAACCCTCTAAAATACATCAAAAACGTTACAATCGCGGCTAATAAAATGTCAAAACGCATCTTGAAGCTTAGCAAAGGTTTCATAGATTTCAGCACTCGTCCCGAAGTGTGCTGAAACAGTCCGGGAAGAAAGCAATCTTCCAGAAAGATTGCTCTCTTACAGCGCCAGAGTGTTTCCCCACTCGTTCGGTATACTGTACCAAAATCAGTCTGCCGTAGCGAAACCATACTTAGGTTTTAGGGCGACCTCAGTCTAGCTCTGTTTCGTTTTGAGTCTGGGATCGAGCAGCACATTTTGCGCGGCCAAATTAATTGCATTATTCAGCCCAATGAAGTCTCTCCAATTCGTAAGATAATAAAATAATAAAGTATAGACAATTAATTTTATATGCATATGCTTTATATCAATTATAAAGAATGAAAAAAAAAATTTATGTGTTTTCTAGAGTTTCGGTCACATTGAAAATGTCTGTATAAAATAAAGTCGTGGACTTGATTACTTCTTAAGCATCTTTATGACTAGGGATATCTACCTAAAAAACTCAGTATGAGACTATATTATATTATAGTCAAATAAAACATTATATCACCAAAGTATCAGTTGGTATTAACTCAGGTCTCAAATGAGGCGAATAATCTTTATGTATATAAAAGGATGTTTGTATGTACGAAATCGATAAACTCAGAAACTATTTCACCGATCATTATGAATATTGGTATGTACATGTATTTTTT